AGATTTGCTATTTTCTCTCTTTAAACATAGGGAAACTGAAGCTAAGTTAAGTCCCTGAATTGTATGCAAAAGAGGATTGGTTTGACTGTATTGAAGATTATTTAAAAAGAAAAAAGATAAAGAAAAGAAAATTTAGGTCTTGTGAAGATAAAATATTCTGGTTGTTAAGTAATTGAACATCATTGAAACCTTTTGTTCATGTCAGTGATAAGATTCAATTTTTGCTTAAAAAAGATTAATATGGTACCTGTCAGTTTGGATTAAAGAAGTATAAGATTCAAAAATCAGTCTAGATGCTGTGGCTCACACCTATATTCCTAGCACTTTGGGAGGCTGAAGCAGGTGGATTGCTTGAGCTCAGGAGTTTGAGAACAGCTAGAGCAAGAGTGAGACCCCATCTCAAGTAAAAAAAAAAGAGAGAGAGAGAGAGAGAAAGTAGCTGGGCATAATATCAAGTGCCTATAGTCCTAACAGAGGTCCTCAAACTATGGCCCGTGGGCCACATGTGGCCCACTGAAGACATTTATCTGGCCCGGTGGGTGTTTTTGCTGCCGCTGCCTATCCTGCTGTCCCGAGCCCACAGTCTGGCCCTCCAACGGTATGAGGGACAGTGAACTATTCCACTGTTTAAGAAGTTTGAGGACCTCTGCTTGGGAGGCTGAGGCAAGAGGATCACTTGATTCCAAAAGTTTGAGGTTGCTGTGAGCTGTGATGTCAGAGCACTCTACCCAGGACAACAGAGTTAGACTTTGTCTCAAAAGAAAAAAAAAAAAAGAATAGAAGATCATAGAAGATCAGTTAGGACACTGGGGACCTTCTTTTTCTTTCTCACTGTCACTGCATTAGGACAGGTTGTCATCTTTGTCTCTATGGATGAGAGAAATAGACTCAAACTGATCTAACTGAAGCTTCTTCCTTCTTCAGTGTCAACTCCTCATTCTCAGCAGACTTAACTTTGTCCAACAGATTCCATTATGGAACTCCTCTGTTTTAGAAATTTCAGTAGTTTGTCATTATTATAGAAAAAGGTCTAATGCGGGAGGCACCTGTAGCTCAAAGGAGTAGGGTGCCGGCCCTATATACCAGAGGTGGGAGGTTCAAACACATCCCCAGCCAAAAACTACAAAAGGAAGAAAAAGGTCTAATGCCTCAAGTGGCTTGTGGGGCTCTTTATAATTTAATTAGCTCCTTTTCTCTCATTTCTCTCCAATCTCTATTCCTCAACACCATTTTAATATTCACACATACCAAATGACTGTTTCCAAATTTAGACTCCTCTAATTGAAAACACTTTACATGTTTCAGAAGACTGGAAGCATGTCTGATAAAAAGTCCATTCCTGGAGGCCACTCCAATTTCTCTGAAGTCCCCACTCAGTGAAACATTCCATTTTTTGAGTTTGTATTTAATATGCCTACATTCATTGTTATGACATTTGTCAAACCTTATTTGAATAGTGGGTTTGTATGTCTGTATTCTGCAGTTGACAAAAGCCTAGAAATAAAGGATGTAAAGCTACACTAATAATTAAATTTTGTATTTTTTTCTATCAATAAAGTATCTTTGCTCAGTTTATGCTATCTGTTAGTCAAGAATTAAGAAAGCAAAGTTCTCACTCCCCTTGTGCATTTCCAAAAGATGGTGACACTTCAGGTAATTATGGAACTATTTAACCATGATAATATTCATAATTTCAAATTATTCTGATTTAACCTTTGCTAAGGAAAACCTTGCAGGGATTCTGGACAAGTAGTTCACTTTGGACAAGTTCCATGTGTTTCCCAGGTTGGGGCCAGGTTGGCTTTCAAATTTCTAGCACTTTAGTCATATTATTTAAAAAAAAAAATCACAGGACAATCAACCGAAACTAGGATTTCACCTTACAAACGCAAACAATGTAAACTAAGATATGTGCCCTCATATTAATCTGAAAAAATGGAAGGGGAGAGGGAGGGGAAGGGAAGGGGAAGGGGGAGAGGAGGGAAGGAAAGGGAAGGGAGGAAATGCCTCAGCTTTCCATGAAGCTACTCTGTGAAGAGGAGCACGTCTTCTGTCTGGGCTTGGTTTTACGAAGGCGCCCTGCTTCTGTGCCCTGTTCTACCCATCTCTAGGGTAGCCGGGTCTTTGCAAGCTACATCCCGAGCACAGTGAGCTCTAGTCTGCTGCACATGATAGTCCTCCTAGCCTGGAAGATAGGGTTCCTCCTTGTCTGCCTGAATAACCCCAGCTCGCCCCTCAGAACACCAGCAGAGCTGGCACCGTCTGGGCAGCCTAGCTGCTCCACGCGCGGCTCTCGCACAGGGCGGCCCAGAGCTCCCACGTCTGCGCTTGTCAGTGTGGCTGTGTTGTCCCCCAGGCTATCTGCGTGTTAAAGTGTAGGACTTACCCCTCGTTTGTGCATAGCAACCAGCCAGAAGAGTGTCCCCCAAAGTGACACTACAATGCCTTGACTAGGTGAAGACTCTAGGATCCACGCATTGGATTGAAACTACAGGTGTCACGCAGGCTAAGCACAGAAGGCAAGCAGCAGCCTGGTTAAGTCACTTTGCTCTAAGACATTAGAATGCTCTTTAACTCAGAAGAGACAAAATATTTTCAGGCTTGACTCTTGACTCTTCCTCCCAGGCTGCCAACCCGCTAGCACCCAAAGTCAACTTCACACAAGTCTTCCCCTGAATCAAATAGCAGAAATGGCCACAGTCCCTCCGATGCCATCCAGCATGAGGAAAAGTGTCACAAAAGAGAAGTTAGAGAGAGGCAGTGATTTTAACTGGTTAGTTTCAAAATATATAAGTTTTGCACCTTTTTAAAAAATATAGGACCCCAAGAATGCATGTGAGCCTTGGCAGGGTTCTTGGCTGCAACCAACACCAGGAAAGATATCTGAATCACAGCTTCTGCAGTAAACCTTAAAATACATCCCTGCCTCGCATCTCAGCTGTTGCCAACCTGTTGCTGTTCCATAACACGCCACGTGTTCCCTGCCATGGTGTCTTTGCTTTTGTTTCTCTCTCCTTGCTACAAATTTGTGTCTTCTTCAAAATGTCTGCACTTACTAGAACACTGAGTTCAATTATTTCCTCCTGTACAGATTTTAGAAGTATTCTTATGTTTCAGGAACATAGACCGTATCAACACGTCTTTAGTCCTCTCCTCCACGGCTTTATTTTTTTTTTATGTTTTTTGAAGCAAAATTTCTACTCAGTGAATATTTTTAATTTATGTATTGTTGAATATTAAGTATGTGAGTAGAAATAATACAGAAGTATTACAGAACTATTAAGCAAATAATTACAGAACTATTAAGTTGATTATCATCAACTTGATTCAACACTCAGCTTGACTGTTATTCCGATGTAAAGATTATCACGAGTCCTCTGAATAGCACTGCTATCAATGTCTGTGAATTTTGATAGGAGTAACTCAGTGTTATGTTAAATTTTACAAAAAAACGGTTTTCTACAAATAAGCATATGCAAATACACATATTCTATTAAAATATAGAGATTACAAAACAAATGTTAACAAGTATCATTTATAGTTCTTGTAATGATCTCATAATTATCTCTGTTTCAAAGATATGAAATTGAGATTTAGAAAGGTTAATTTGCCCTACTCACATTAATCAAAACTGGAAAAATGGATTCTCTTAAAAAAATTTGCATCTTCTATTTATACATTAAAATATACAAATAAGTTATGCAAATACTCTATTATAATGTTAGTAATGAATGCATATCTTTTATTGAGGATTTTGGAGGAAAATCCTTTTTAGGTTAGCTAGCTGAAATGTGTTCTTTAATTCACAATGCAGTCTACAACCCACTAATTTGATCAATCTAAAGCTATGTTTAAAATAATCTCTAATTTTTTAATCAAGTAGAGTCTTTCTGCAATTTTATAAATGTGATTTAGCAATTTGATAAAATGGATCATTGAAGTTCTGTTTCCAAAATGTGTAGCTTCATAAAAGCTGTAAAAATTATGTTTCTACATAAAGACATGTAAAATGAGAGAATTGTATTTCTTATGAGCCTTTGTCACTTTTTTCTTTTTATAACTTAAATTTAATTTTCACTAAATAGATTTGGAAACTTATAATTTGAAGAACTTTAAATAGCTTTACTCTAAGTTTCAGTATATAATTTTGATAATAGCTGGCATTTATAGATTACCAAACAAAAGATAGTTAACAAGTATCATTTATATTTCTTGCAATGATCTTGTCATGATTATCTCTATTTGAAAGACATGAAATTGAGATTTAGAAAGGTTATTTAGTTTGCCTATACACACCAATAAAAACTGGAATAAAAGGTTTTTTAAAATTTAAATCTTATATTTGTATTTATTTAAATATACCATCTTATTTAAAGTGACTTCCCACATATCTGACATTCACTGTGTATTTTTTATATTTTCGGACATAAATAAAACTGAAAACATTAATATGTGAGAAGTATATGCAATTAGTGCACAATAATTGAAAAGAATAAATGCTTTTTCCTTAGGTTCACAGGCCAAAAATTTAGAAATTCAAAAGCCAAAAATAAATGATTTCCATGTGGGCTAATTCATGAGGATGAATTTTTAAAATCTACATCTTAATATCATGCTGTATCCCGTTATCACGTTTGTTGATGCCATCGTGACCACCAGACACCTAGATAAAGTTAGATTTACACATTTCCCTTACAACCTACCTACTGACTCAAAACGAGCTACTTTATCTTTTAAATTCTCAGATTTCTTATTGGCAAAATGGTTAACAATATCTGCATTACAAGATAGTTTTAAACAAAAATCTAACATGGATCACTGAGACAGTTGTTTGGGATAATTTAGAATAATTTCAAACCAGGACTAAAGATAGATTAGTACTCCACACATCAAAAGTATGATGCTAATTCTGTCTAATAAAATAGAAAGACAACATTATCTTCCTCAACTAGGCTCAATTTACTGCCGGTTCTAAGAAACCCTATAAAAATATGACTTAAGTGGTCACTTCAGCAGCACATATAGTAAAATTGTTACAATACAGAGAAGATTAGCATGGCCCCTACACAAAGATGATATGCAAAGTCATGAAGTGTTCCATATTTCAAAAAAAGAAGTCTGAATATATATTTTAAATAAATATTATAGTTTCCTAGTAGCTATATGAATATATATTCCCTATTGTGTATTTGCCTAATTTCCTAGTTCCTTACCCTCCTTTGTGTTCAATGGCATAGAAAAGAATAGCCTACTCCTGAGACCACAGTGACATCAAAGGAAGTGCATATTCACGTTAACTCAGTGATGTGAAGGACAGGACAAGCAATGACCTCCTTGATTCTTTTTTTTTTTTTATTTGCTGTTTTTGGTCGGGGCTAGGGTTTGAACCCACCACCTCTGGCATATGGGTCTGGTGCCCTACTCCTTTGAGCCACAGATGCCACTGCTTCTTGATTCTTTAAAAAGAGATCTACAGGTTGGGTGCAGTAGCTCAGCCTGGAATCCCAGTGCTTGGGAAGCCAAGAAAAAAGGATCCCTTTAGTGAGGAGTTTGAAATTAGTTCTGAGCAACTTAGTGAGGGCCCTCACATCTGTATAAAACTTTTAAAAATCTAGATAGGCATGGTGGTCTTTACTCCTCCATCCTGGGTGACAAAGTGAGACCCCATATTAAAACAAAATGAACACACCAGGATAATTCAATAAAGAAACCTGCATTAATTCTTTTTGTTATTGTGGTATTTTCCTTCAGGGCCTTAGGCCTACATTTAAAAAAGTGTTTTCATACATTTTCTTCTGGGATTCTTATGGTTTCATGCCCCAGCTTTTAGTCTTTTATTCATCTTGAATCAATTTCTGTGTATGGTGAAAGACAAGAGTCCCTTTTCCTTCTTTTGCATGTAGCTCTTCAGTTTGCTTAGGATTATTTAGTGATTAAGATGTTCTTTCCCTAGTGTATTTTGTTGTCTGCTTTGTTGAAGATCAGCTGATCATAGCTGTATAGTTGTCGGGCTACTGTGGCACCCCGTCACCCCACAAATAAAAATAGCCATGTAGTGGCACCTGTGGCTCAAAGGAGAAAGGTGCCAGGGTGCTGGTCCCATATGCCGGAGGTCACGGGTTCAAACACAGCCCCAGCCAAAAACTGCAAAAAAAAAAGAAAAACAGTCAGGACGTGGATTGAAGGTACGTGCCTGCAAGAGGTGGGCTTCCCATATCTCTAGAGAGAGTCTTGAGCAACCTCTGTCATGGCCTTTTATTGAAGTATTATACAACAGGTGTGGGGGCCCACTTACTAGGATCAGGTGCTTAATGGTCGATATGTGCTCTTTCCCCATGGGCTTGACTCTCACCCTGCTGCACCACAAATGTTCAATGTTCTATATACAAATGACTTAATAAAAAATAAAAATAAAATAAAAAAATAAAAAGTACCACCCTGCTAGCTAACTAGCAACGACCAACGCATCTTCTCTCATTAACGCTGCAGCTGCTTGAGGGCTTGTCTCCAGGCAGCAAAACATCTGCATGCTGGCTGGGAGATTGTCTTGCTCTTTTGCAACTTGGATGGAATTGAAGACCATTATCTTAAGTAATGTATCTCAAGAATGGAAAAACAAACAAAAACATAGGTAATACATGTTCTAGTTAACTAGTGGGAGATAAATAATGGGTACCTATGGGCACAAGGAGATGTGAAGGACATTAGAAACTAAGACAGAGGAAGCCTGGGAAGAGATGAGAGATAAAAACTTACCTATTGGGATATAATTAACACTGCTCTGGTAAAGGGTACACTAAAAGCCCTGACTTAGGTGGTATACCAGGTATCTATGTAACAAAAATATTTTGGTACCACCTTAGTACTTTGAAATTAATAGAAACCTACAGATAGCCACGTTTATAATTTATCCATGTATCTTTTGAAACTATCATATATAAAGGTACCACAGTACTCATATGCAAGATAGAAATGTTAATATCATGGAAATATTAATATCATGAAAATATATATAATTATGTATAAATATTTAAGTGCCCACAAGTAAACAAAATTAAGAAGTTAAAACAAATAACTTAAATTGATTTTCTCTGTTACATATGAGTTGGATATGTCATGAAGTTATTGGTATAATAAACAGATAAAATTTTTGATAAAATCTTATCTAGGTGAACTGAAATTATTAAGGATGTTGTTTTCAAAAGTACATATCTAAAAGTCTTTGACTTTTTTGACTTTTTGTATATTTATTTATAATTTACAAAAGTAATGAAGACTTTTCAGACTGGTCTGATAATTATTCAGTTTTTTTGAGAAATTCATATCATTATCCCCCAGGAAAATTTGAAAGTTCATTATGTTTTCTCAATTACAAGTCTGTAGGAAAACGAGAACGATAATATAGATAGAGACTTGGATAGGTGACCTAGATTACATGTGTATTATGTAGATAGATAGATAGATAGATAGATAGACATATACACACACATACTTAACACACCTTATATGCATGTAGTAAATTTTCAGTTTAAGGGAGTTAATAAGTTTTTCTTTTTTGAAATAATATTTAATTAGTCCATGATAATTGAATGAATAAGTGTGTATCTTCTAATATTCTTATTTTGGCTCAATAAAAACTGCAAACTTTATGTTCCATGTTTTAAAAAGTATGGTCTTTGAAATATATCAGATTAATAGGTGCATGCTTTGGCATAACCCTCTGTTCACCCAGATGCCTATCTCAGTTAACAGGTGTGGTTGGCCACTGATAGGTCACAGCTGAGTTCTTCAACAATTGGCTTAATGAAGAAAACTGCCTTGCCCAGGGCCACACCCCTCCCTAAGGGCAGCTTTCACCCAGTGACTGGGGAACAAAGGCCTGATCCCTTTGTCCTGGTTGAGAATAGCTTGAAGGTCCCTCCCACCAGTGTTCTTCAGAAGATTCGCAAGGCCTCTGTTGAAGCTGTGTGTGGCAACTTCATCACTGTTTACCTTTCCCTCTGCCAGCAGCTTCTGTCACTCCTTTGCAGATAGTGTTCAAAGGAGAATTTCCCTCAAATTGAGATGCACATTAATCTCATTCTCAGAGTTTGTTTCTGTGGCAAATAGACTTCAAACAGGGGAAATGTTTTGAAGGTTACTCCAATTGTGGCATTAATGTCAACAAACATGATCCCCAGTCAATGACAGATAATATTCAATTATTATACAATTGAATTATTATAATAATAATTATTATTATAAGTTAACCATTATAATCTTTTAAAAATATTTTTATTAAATCATAACTGTGTACATCAATGCATTTATGGCGTATGATGTGCTAATTTGACATACAATGTGGGAAACTTACATCAAACTTGTTAGCATAACCAACACCTCACTTCTTTGTTGTGGTAAGAAATTTATATTCTACTCTTAATAGTTTTAAAATGTACCATTACATTATTCACAATAGACGAGGTCCACCAAATACCTTCCCTCCTAATGACCTCCTCCCTCCCTTCCTCCCCTCTTCCCTTTTCCTTTCTAGATTATAGTTTTGTTTTATCATTCGTATGAAAGTGTAGGTGATTATATATTGGTTTCATAATATCATTGAGTACATTGTATACTTTTTCTTCTATTCTTGAGATACTTTACTAAGAAGAATATGTTCCAGCTCCATCCAAGTAGACAAAAAAGGTATAAAGATTCCATAATTTTATGGCTGGATAGTATTCCACAGTATACATATACCACAATTTGTTAATCCATTCATGGGTCAGTGGGCACTTAGTCTCCTTCCATGACTTGGCCATTATGAATCGGGCTGCAGGGAACATTCTGGTGTAAATGTCTTTGTTGTAAAATTATTTTTTTATCATTTGGGTATATATACCTAGTCGAGGAATTGCAAGATCAAATGGCAGGTCTTTTTTTTTTTTAGTATTATTTTCCAAACTTATTTCCAAAAAGGATGCATTAGCTTGCATTCCCAATAGCAGTGTAGAAGTGTTCCCTTTTCTCCATATCCATGCCAACATTTGAAGTTTTGGGATTTTGTGATGTTGGCTAATCTTACTGGAGTTAGATGATATCTCAAAGAAGTTTTGATTTTCATTTCTCTGATGATTAAAAATGATGAGCATTTTTTCATGTATTTGTAGACCTTGTGACTGTCTTCTTCAGAGAAGCTTCTGTTGATATCTCTTGCCCACATAGAAATGGGTTATTTGTTCTTTTTTATTGATTAGTTTGCGTTCTCTGTGGATTCTAGTTATCAGACCCTTCTTGGAAACAACTGAAAATGTCTTATCCTCTCCTGAAGGTTGTCTGTGTGGTTTACTTACTGTGATTTTGGTTGTGCAGAAGCTTTTTAGTTTGATCAGATTCCACTAATATATTTTTTGTGTTGCTTCAATTGCCGGGGGATCCTCCTCATAAAAAATTCTCCCAGGTTAATTTCCTTAAGCATTTTCCCTCAACTCTATTCTAGTATTTTTATAGTTTCCTGTCTTAAGTTTAAATCTTTTATCCAGTGAGAATCAATTTAACCATTAACTATTGTTAAAAGTGGGGTCCAGTTTCAGTCTTCTATAGGTTGCTAACCAGTTCACTCAGTACCATTTGTTAAATAGAGAATCTTTCCCACAATTAATGCTTTTGCTATGCTTATCAAAGATCAAATGATGATAACTGGCTGGGTTCATCTCTTAGTTCTCTATTCTGTTCCATAAATTTATGTCTCTATTTTTGTGCCAGTACCAGGCTGTTTTGATCACTATAGATTTACAGTATAGCCTGAAGTCTGGTAACATGATGCCTCCTGATTTGTTTTTATTTCTGAATTATGTATTGGCTATTTTAGATTTTTTTCTGATTCTATATAAAATGAAGTACTGTTTTTTTCAAGATCTTTAAAGTATGACAATGGTGCTTTAATAGGGATTGCATTAAATCTGTATATTGCTTTGGATAGTATGGACATTTTAATAATGTTGATTCTTTCCAGCCATGAGCATGGTATGTTTTTCTATTTGTTAGCATTTTCTTCTAGTTTTTACCTCAGAGTTACATAATTCTCTTTATAAAGATCTTTCACATCCTTTGTTAGGTAAATTCCCA